ATGCATGGGGAGTGATTGTACTATCATACACAATACAATCAGCATGAAGCACTTGTCAAGACCAATACATCAAGGTTTAATTCAGTAATAGAATGAATTAGAGCAAAATGAAACATTCTGTTCTTCAAGAAACACAGCACCTATAGAAAGCCTTTTTTTCTGAAGCCTGCACAGAGAAACCAGAATGCATTAAGGGGTTGATTTTATGGATAAAATTGCAACTTGGATCCAAATGAATACTGAGAATACTTTTCCTTGGGATTCTTACGGAGGAGAGAGCAGCAATGAAGTGCTTTGCCTATCTTCGCCATTTCATAAAAGCAACTGTTAATTGGAGCGTTCTCCAGTGGGGCTTCTGATTATGCTTTGTTCTAATGGAATCTGGTGCCCGGAGGTGGGAGGTGGTTTTACTTGTCATTCTAAAGGCATTTGTCCTTCTCACTGGGAAAAAATAAATACCATACACTACCTTCTTTGAGGTTTCCAAGTGGCTGTCCATGTGAGTGTGTGTATGTGTTAAAAAAAAAATGTAAACCACTTTAAAATCCTTTGTTGGTACTTCTACGTTAAAGGGGTCATATGTGCTGTTTCCTAGCATTGTTTCTATTGTAGCATTTCCAGTGCTGGAAAATTATGCTTTTGTAATGGAATTGATAAGGCCTGAATGGGGCGCAGTGAAAAGTGTGCAGCAAGTGCTGAAGTTAGTCTATCTGTTGCACAAAGGAAGTGATCTTGATTACTTGGCTCCATTTTCTTTGAAATGATCAAATGCCATGATCCTGGTAGCTTCTGGGTTTCTATTTTTTAGGAAAAAGTTGAGTAATAATGAGGAGGGAAACGAAATGTCACAGTAGATGTGCGTCTGTTTCTTGCATATTTTGATTTTGCAAATGAATGGATTGATCTTGAGTATAATAAAAGTAAAATTGCAAAGCAAAGGCTGTGTACTAGCCATTGATTACATGGGTATTGTAAATGAGGAAATGCTGACCGAAGCTAAGCTACACAGCAGCACTGACAAGGCAGTGAATTTCTAGGAAAAGCAGATTTCTTGGGAAGTCTTTAATCAAACAGTTAAACAGAATCATATGCTGGATATTTAATCATGGTCAGTGTCCTAGCCCCTCCACTAAAACTGTTTCCGTTATCACTTTCCCATTTATTGGGACAAGAGTAAAACATAATGGGGTTTATGAAAACTGAGCAATGCTTAATCTCTTGAGAAAGTCTGTATACATTCCTTGCACTTCCTTTGGCTTCAGGAATGCATGCATGCACAGTATATGTATTATTACAACATAAACTTTTACAGTGACTGAATACTTCTCAATATTTTTTAGTTTGTATATTTAAATCCTAATCAGTGTAAACACATGCTGGCCATTTCTCCCCCATGAATTCAAAGATATAGGTGTCCATTGAGAAACAGAAAAGTACTGGAGTTCCCTTTTATGTAGAAGGAAAGCCTGCGTTGTATAAAGCAGTAATGCAACTTTTTTGTTTTGTTTTGTGGTGTGAGACGCACTAAAGATGAATGACAACTGTGCTTTTTCAAAGGAGGGCTGTCTGGACCAAAGGTCTGTTTTGGCAAAGCTAGCTTTTTCCAGGTCGAAAGGATTAGTGCTCAACCAAAGTAATCAATTCCTTATCGCAATATGACAGTTCTAATATTCATTCCCTTGTGAAATTAAAATTGCAGTTGTAGTATGTCTAATTGAAAAGCTTTTATACGTTGGGTTGTGATCATTTTTCCACTGTGCTGTGAGGAGTTTTGTATTGGAATGATGTAGGTCTCAGCCGTATTATCCAAATCAGAGCTTTACTTTTGGTTTAGTTGTATGTAGTTTGGAAGGGTAGGAAGAGGGGGAAAGATGTGTCAGCCTGCTGACAGCCAATAAGAAAAGATACTTGGTGCCTTGGGGAAAGGGAGGTAGAAGGAGCTGTGCTAGAGAGGAAAGCAGAATATATGAATACAAACACATTTTCTCGATTGTGGGTTTTTCTCCATTTGATGTGACGTTTGTTCATATCGCAGGTATCATTGATGACATCATTAAATCTAGGTGAACAGGTAAACTTGAGAGTGCCAATGTATTTTGGGAAATTTGAGTATAGACTGTTGCCAACAGCAGTTTTGAGGCTGGAGTCACTAGAAATGGATTTAGATACCTTCCCCACAAATTATAAGTAACTGCTCTTCATTTTTCCGTAAGCCTTATCTGTATTAGGGGTAAACATGATCATTAGTTTCCCCATGTGGGAGCCATTAGGCAGAAAGTAGAGAATCTCTTGTTCGAGGCCAGTGTAAGCCTTCAGATTAGTGGTGACATTTATGGGGCAGCTCAGAGGGACTTCCACGGAGCAGCATCAGAGTGAAATAGGAAGAATATCCTCGAGGCTTCTTCCACTTGGCATGTGGTAAAAATCTGGGCAAAAGTGAACATTTTCCGCAGACTTGTCAGCGCTAGGAGGGGGACAGGAACCGGTGAATTGAAAGAACCAGAATGGAGCAGATGTCAGATTAGGGGGAAGGTGCTTAAGGAGCAGGAGGAGGAGGAAGAAATATGAATACAGGCAAATGGACACATGCTACGGGAAGAAAAAAAAAAAGAAAGTAAAAAAGAATCACACAAAAAAATTCCCCAGCCAAAAAGCCTGGAAGCCTGAACAGGCTGAAGAGTGTGGGGTCAGTGGCATTATCCATCCTTGTCCCAGATGGTAGCCTTTGTAGCACTACAAGGAGCTGAGCCTCAGGCTCTTTCTGTTCCCTTCTCTTCTCGTGGGGGAGTTCTGTCTCCCACTCCTTCTCCTGCAGGGAATTGGGCAGATGTGAACGCTAGGCAAGAACTCAGATGTGTGTGCAGCTTACCCTGAAGTCCCTGGGAGCAGAGTGCAGTTGGGCTCTGTTGAAATTTCAAAGTGATTCGTGTGGGGTTTATTAGAAATACACTTCTCTGTGTGCTTCATTTGCATAAAAATAGCCTGTGTTTGAGACAATCGCTGCTAACAATGTAGTTATACTTGGCGTAGTTTCCATCTTTAAACCAAAGAAGTTTTTTTAGGATTTTCATGCTTTGGGGTATTTCTTCCCTGTCCTGCCTCTTAGGTGTAGTGCATAATGGAGCTTCTGAAGAAGGCAACTGAATTCCTTTGCCTCTAGTGATGTTTCTGGGATGTAAAAAAGGCCACTCACTCGGTAGGGGCATGGTGTAATCAGTCGTGTGTGCTCTGCCTTAGTGGGTGATTTAATTACTCCATTTTGCTCTTGCTTCAGTGTGAAAACACTGAGAATCTGTTTGCAAAGTATTAAATTGGCTGCGTTGCTTTTTTCGTTTTGTTGCTCTTTGTGTTTTTTTTTTCCTTAGATGCTGAGAGGTACAGTGTCTTCTTAGTGCCCTGGAGTGATGCCTGCTTCTGAAAATAAATGTGCAATCTGAAGTTAATTGTTTTCTTTCCTATATTCCCCATCTTCTTTTTTGTTTTACAGATTGCAAGAAATACATTCTATCCTAAGCAATGCTGAATGCATTGATGCTTAATAATAAGAACCAACTGTTAGGTTGTTGAGTGTGTCTAAAGAGAGTCATATGATTTTGATTTTAGAAGAAAGTAAAAATAATATTGGCCTTATTTATTCCTATGGCAAGTTTCAGACAAAAAGGCCCAACACCACAAAACATCTGCTGCACTGTATTTAATGACTGGGCAGTGATAATCTGCAGTAGTGTTAGTGTCTCTCTGGTGTTCTGCACTGTACCATATCAAATTTTGTTGTGGTTCTCAGATTTCTTTGATTCTACCACTTCTCTATTACATGTTGGTCTGAATAGCAGAGGACTTAAAACCGTAAGGATCAAGGTGTGTTTTTACTGGCTCCTGTGCTGTGGCATACTGACATGCTAAGTTACTTTAAGAATGAATGTAATGTGGTGACCTGTGCTCTGGGTATCCATTTTAGTTCTTAGTCAGCAAAAGAATACCTGAATGTGAGGATTTTGTTATCCTGGATGAACCAGCTGTTTTTGTTTGTTTGTTTGTTTTTTTTTGTATCGTGTCATGAAGATTGTGTAGTTTAGGCATATTCTCTAAATCTCTTCTAGTGTATAAGGCATGTTTTTAATGAGCAACTGAACTGTTGCTAAACAGTGCTTTCAGATGAATTTTCATGCTTCTGTCAAAGTTCATGCTGATGAAGAGGTAGCTGATGTAGAGAAGAATCTACCTGTTTTAAAATTGTTGCTACAGATTCTGATGTATTTTTGCCTGCTTTGTACATAGTCTCAGGGAGCAGGTTCCAATGTGATGGTACGTGTGAAATGTCAGTGTGAATTAGCTTGTCCTTTGAGCTCCATAAACAGAAAATGTAAACCAAATTTCCTAGTGTGACCAAAGTACTGAAGTAATTGCAGTAAAAATCTTCTTCCTGTTAGACTGAACAAAGCCAGTGTTTTCTGGATCTCTGAGAATCAGATGCATTTGTGAATGAGTGACATGATCAGCAGTACTTACGCTAGGTTCTGAGTGTGGATGTGTGTTTAGAAAATACAGGTCTTACTGATACACTTCTTTACTTCCTGTAATACGAAGCTCAAAGACAAGTAATTGTTGTTCATAGAAAACAGCATAGGCTTCTGGTACAAAAATTAGAAGACAAACTTGGGTGATTTTCTGCTGTAACCTTATGTGAATTCTTGTTTACTTTTGACTGATGGGCTCACCTGAGCCATACATTGTGAATTCTGGATTTTCTGATTCAAAAGACCTCTTAATGCCTTTTGAGAAGGTTATCGTGGTACCATATTTCAACTGCTTGAGATGAGCCTTGCCGTCTCCAAGATCCTGCATCAGGAATTCAGTCTGCCTGTTGTTAGGTGTACCTGGGAAGCAAGCAGTGTAGTCTTTGTGAGGAGAAAAAGCGTTATGGTATAGAAGTTTGCAATTAGTCATTAGCTGCTGCATTTTTAATAGAAAACATAATTTAGCAATTTTTTTAAAATCAGGTGCTCTGTGGATGTGTATAGTCTTAAATCCCCACTGCAAGTCGGAGCAGAAGGCCAATTGGCTAAAACAGCTGAAAAAATGGAACAGTGTGGATGTTTGTCCCTGGGAAGATGGAAACCATGGAGACGAGCTGCCCAATTTAACCGATGCTTTGCCTCAGGATGCAAACGCTAACCAAGGTGAGCCTAAACATATGCACTGACTGCAACATACAGTATAACCTCTGTCTTATATACTCTAGCCTTGCAGAA